CCCCCACCCCCCTCCCGAATTCCCACCCCTACCTTACATAAAAATATTATTTAGAGTACTTTCTTTTTATGTAGATAGAGTATTTTCTCTTCATTACAATAAAATGAATATTTTATTTTTATAATGTAGAAAAAGTATTTTCTTTCATTTCAACTAAATAAGTACTTTCTTTTCATGATGTAGAAAAAGTATTTTCTTTTCATAAAATGAGTACTTTCTTTTCACCTAGTAGAAAAGTATTTTCTTTTATTTCAACAGAAAGAGTACTTTCTTTTTATGATGTAAAAAAGTATTTTCTTTTTCTCTAAATAAGTACTTTCTTTTTCTCTTGTAGAAAAAATGATTTTCTTTTATTTAAAAAAAGTACTTTCTTTTTCTCTTGTAGAAAAAATGATTTTCTTTTATTTAAAAAAAGTACTTTCTTTTCATGATGTAGAAAAAGTATTTTCTTTTTCTCAAAATGAGTATTTTCTTTTTCTGTTGTAGAAAAAGTATTTTCTTTTATTTCAACAAAAAAGTACTTTCTTTTCATGATGTAGAAAAAGTATTTTCTTTTTCTCAAAATGAGTATTTTCTTTTTCTGTTGTAGAAAAAGTATTTTCTTTTATTTCAACAAAAAAGTACTTTCTTTTTATAATATAGAAAAATTATTTTTTTTTACAAAATGAGAACTTTCTTTTCATGTTGTAGAAAAAATATTTTCTATTATTCAACAAAAACGTACTTTCTTTCATGATATAGATAAAACATTATTTTTTTCACAAGATGAGTACTTTCTTTTCATGTTATAGAAAAGGTATTTTCTCTTATTTCAACAAAAAATTACTTTCTTTTCATGATGCAAGATATTTTTTTTTCACAAAATGAGTACTTTCTTGTCCTGTTGTAGAAAAATATTTTATTTTATTTCAACAAAAAGAGTACTTTCTTTTCATGATGTAGAGAAAGTATTTTTTTTCCACAAAATGAATACTTTTTTTTCCTGTTGTAGAAAAAGTATTTTCTTTTATTTCCACAAAAAGAGTACTTTCTTTTCATGATGTAGAAAAAGTATTTTCTTTTTTACAAAATGAATACTTTTTTTTCCTGTTGTAGAAAAAGTATTTTCTTTTTTACAAAATGAATACTTTCTTTTTCTGTTGTAGAAAAATATATATTTTTTTATTTCAACAAGAAGAGTACTTTCTTTTCATGATGTAGAAAAAATATTTTTGACTCTAACCAAGAACTAGAAAATATTTTTCGATTTTTTTTCTCACCAACCAAATATGAAAAATTAAGTGAATAAATCACTCATTTTCTAAGAAAATATACACGCCCTTAGAAGCTTTTAAAGGGCAATTGCTATTTATGGGTCAGTTTGGGCTAAAATCATGAGTTGATTTGGGCTACTGAAAATAAATGGGTTTAGTTGAATTGTACCCAAACTTAGCCCATCATTAAAGTAGTTCATGCCCAACCCACTAAAATCTAAACGGCGGGTTAAACAGGTCAAACGGGTTTGGGCCACTTTTGCCTCCCCTAATCATGAGTGTATGATCTTGTGTAGTATTATCTACGGGGGTGGTTGAGATATTATAGGAGCCTAAAAAATTAGGTAATGTATAACTGACCACTTAACAATTTGTTTGTGCCAGTGTCCCTAGTTTAGGGGAGAAATTTTAGGAGTTTATGAACTTAGTAATCTAGCTAAAAAGTTAAAAAGTTGTAATAAATTGTATGTTGTGAAATTTTCTAAAAGCAGTTGTAACTTTTATAAATAAGTATTAAAAAAGTTGTAATCTGTGTAAATTCCTCTATATAATCACTTGTATGTTATCGTGGCTAAGTTCATAGCGTGTATGAAATTAAGTTATTTACTAGGTGTGGTCTAGAAGCGTCTCTTGACACTTATAAAAACCTCCCTTGTAATAATGCTTTGTGAGAATTTAGTTTTTTGCCTCCCTTGTAATAACGCTGTTTTGTGAGAGTTTAGTTTTTTATTTGATGGAAGTATGTTTTATGTTTATCTCTCTCTTACATCTTTGTGTGTGTTGTGATATTTATAACGAGAGCACGTTATATTTCAACAAGCGAGAGATTGATACCACATAGTTTGACTACCTCATTTAAAGCTCGAACGTCTAGTAGAGAGAGTACACTTTAATTTATTTAATTATATTTTTAACAGGTAATTACTGGAGAGAGGCTCGGAAAATTCTAGTGTTGGAGTTGCTAAGTACAAAGAGAGTACAAAGTTTCGAGGCAATTCGAGACGAGGAAGTAAGTAGCTTGGTTCAAATTATCTGTAGTTCCTTGAGCTCACCTGTTAACATAAGCACATTAGCACTATCCTTGGCAAATAACGTTGTTTGTCGAGTGGCTTTTGGGAAAGGGAGTGCTGAAGGAGGAAATGATTATGAGGATAGGAAGTTTAATGAAATTCTATATGAGACACAAGAATTATTGGGTGAGTTTAACGTTGCTGATTATTTTCCTCGGATGGCATGGATTAACAAAATAAATGGGTTTGATGAACGATTGGAAAATAATTTTAGGGAATTGGATAAGTTTTATGACAAAGTAATAGAAGATCATCTTAATTCATGTAGCTGGATGAAACAAAGGGATGATGAAGACGTTATTGATGTATTGCTTCGAATTCAAAAGGATCCAAGCCAAGAAATTCCTCTCAAAGATGATCACATTAAGGGCCTTCTTGCGGTAATTTTGTTCTCAATTTAATTATTGTACTTTATTTTTCTACTTCTTCACTCTACATTATTTTCTCTTTTAGCAAACAATAAATAATAAGAGCATGTTCACGGATAGTGCAAAATAGTAAGAGAAATAGAATAGTGAAATAGGAAATAAAATATTGAAGGATAAACCCGAGAGAGACAAAAGACAATTAGACAAATAGAAGACATGACATAAATGGAGAAAACAAGTTTATCTATTTATCATACATGTTAGAATTGTGTGTTTCGCCATGTTTAAATCCTTCTTTTTAAGATCAAAATAGTGTCGGTGAGACTTGAACTTAAAATTTTAGTATGTTCCCATGCTGTATTGTCTCACCTAACTTTTACCGAATTATTCACGCAGGGTGAAAAAAATTAGCCTTCTGTACCTATTTACAAAATTTGTCCATTAAAAAAAATAAATTACAAATCGATATTTTCTACGTATACCATAGGAGTATACAATTTACACAATTATGTACCCCAAATTAAATATATACAACAGTAAGGAGAGTTGAATCATAATGTTCTAAAATTGAAGCCCCAGTCTTTAGATAACAATAATGAAAATTAAGTTGAGAACAAGCAATTGTGTTTAACACATCATATTAGCAATGAAAAGGTTATTTTGTTTTACAAATATATTGAAAAGGTTATCTTGTGGCAGGATATATTCATAGCTGGAACTGATACATCATCAACAACCATAGAATGGGCAATGTCAGAACTCATAAAAAATCCAAGAGTCTTGAGAAAAGCTCAAGAGGAAGTTAGAGAAGTTTCTAAGGGAAAACAAAAGGTCCAAGAAAGTGATCTTTGCAAACTAGATTACTTGAAATTGGTCATCAAAGAAACCTTTAGACTACACCCACCAGTCCCATTACTAGTCCCTCGAGTAACAACAGCCAGCTGCAAAATAATGGAATACGAAATTCCAGTAAATACAAGAGTCTTCATCAACGCGACAGCAAATGGGACAAATCCAAAATACTGGGAAAATCCATTGACATTCTTGCCAGAGAGATTCTTGGATAAGGAGATTGATTACAGAGGCAAAAATTTTGAGTTGTTGCCATTTGGGGCAGGGAGAAGAGGGTGTCCAGGAATTAATTTTTCAATACCACTTGTTGAGCTTGCACTTGCTAATCTATTGTTTCATTATAATTGGTCACTTCCTGAAGGGATGCTAGCTAAGGATGTTGATATGGAAGAAGCTTTGGGGATTACCATGCACAAGAAATCTCCCCTTTGCTTAGTAGCTTCTCATTATACTTGTTGAGATTTTAAAAGATTTTAGCATAGCTATATATAGCTTGAAGTGTCATTTGTAACATATATTTATAACTTCTGAATTTCAATATTATGCAAAACTTTCCTTATTTCCTAATTTATGTAAGTTAGTTTAACAATACTTTATTATATAAATCATCATATATTCCGTAAAATGAGCCTTATTTTTTTTTTCCTCTTAATTTATGTGACGAACCTACCTTATTTCCTTGCTATCAACTTCTTATCATGGATGCACGCAGTCATCATTTCATGCTATCCGACTTCTTTAAAATATATCTTCCACCTAATTAATAATAAAAATCATCATTGAAAAAAATGAAAAACTACATAAGTATAATTTAAAAAGAAGATTTCTTACTGATTCTTCCTTGTCTTTTTTTTTTTCTACTTTCAACAATTTGTATCTTAATAATTTTTTTTCCCGAACGAGCATCTAATGACATAAGTCTTCCTGCTACTACTAGAAAAAAGCTTTTTTCCGACTACCAGTTCCGACTACAATTTTCAGTCGTAATTTTTCGACTACTATAGTCGGAAAATTTATATTTGTATTTATATTATTTTTTTTAGAATTTTGCCGCCTAAGTTTTCGACTACTAATGTCGTGAAGTTTTACGGAATTTTTCGCGCGTATATTTTTCCGACTACTGTAGTCAGAACACACCATAGAAATAGTAATAGAAATGTTTTGAACAAAATTAATTAAATATTAATTTTTTTCCGACTACAGTAGTCGGAACATAGTCAAAAAATTTTAAAATAGAATTAATTAAATATTATGTTATTTTCGACGACAGTAGTCGGAACATAATCACATATTATTTACCGACTACCATAGTAGGATAAGTTAGTTATTTCGGGGCCAAACCCTTATTTTTCTAATTATCTTTTCCTTTCCCACACTTCTCTCTTCTCTCTCACTGCTCACGTTCCTCCTCTCTTCTAGTGGCGTCTGTAGTGGCTTTGACTGGACGACGACGCAGGTGTGTCTCTCTCTCCGTCACATTTTAAATATTCCTATAAAAAAAATACAAAACAGAACAAAGAGGTTTCAATCACAGAATACAAACGGAGTCAAAATATGTAGGCAGTTTAATTAATATTTATGTATCTCGTGGATTTCTCAACGAACTAAATCTGCAATTGATCTAATTTTGAGTTTGGCCTTTCTTTGTTTTTATCTTCCACAATTTTGGTTTCGGCTTTTCTTCATTAAGTCGCAAGTTAATTTCTAAACTATGATTAAATCCAAATTCAAGGATTTTAGCGGTGGGAGGGTGGGGTAATGTTGGGGTGGCTAATAAGCAAAATATAAGATGGATAGATTTTGGTTTGAGGTTTTTGACTTTTCCTCAGTGAAAACTTTTTTCACTTTTCATGGCTCTATGGGTTTTCAACCCTTTTTACTGTTATTCAATTCTAATTGGTACACTTTTAATGGATTCATTTACTCGTCATACAATTAATCATAAGTCCATTTCAACGCAAATTGCATTTGGCTAATCCTAAAACAAAAAGAGGGCAAACGATTAGATTAATTGAACCTTTGAAAAGGTTGTGAGACTCGATAAGTCGTTTTGACGAGGAGTTATTAATACAATATCGGTATGTCATATCTTTGTGGAATGTATTTTTTTTAATCTTCTATAAGATATTATCCATTATAAAATGGAATCAAAAGTGTGTTGTTTATGTTTCTTGGTGATTTGTGTTTTAAAACTTTTTGTCGTCTTTTATATAGATTTGTATTTTTTTAAAAATGAAATAGGGGACATATCTGTCGTTTGGTTTAATTTAATGACTACTTTTTGACATGGATATAATTTTTCTCCAATTCCACCAAATTTTTTAGCGTTACCTTTTCTCCTGTATGATTAAGATTTTCTTGTAAGATGCCAACATTTTCTAGAACTCAAAAGCATGCACATACCCCTAAGATTCTGATTTTGATTAACCTCTTAGAATGACTAATATAAATACTTGATAAAGAAGTACCTATAATTCTGTGGAAGGATTGAAATTGCAATGTATCCTTACAGTCATGTGTTTCTTCTTGCGTTGCGGTCCCATTATGGTAATTAATTGGTATAAACACTGGGCATGGGTAATCCTAGTTATTTTGAAATACAAGAAAATGAATAACCGGGAGTAAATTTTTAGCAACTTTGAGCTACATCGTATATTAAGAGTCTGTTTACTAAAAGTTATTCTTTTGAGTTACTTCATATATTATTACGATTACAGAAGGCTCAACTATATATTATCGCTATTTTTGAAAGCCCAGAGTGAGAATTTTTTGGAAGGGGTAAACTTATTAGGCAATGTGGAAAGTGAGGCAAGTTATGGTTTTTGTTACCTGAAGTAACCTAGAATAGCTAATTAGGCAACTTAATGGTTTTTTTACATTGGGGTGTGTGTGTTTATTTGACTCGACTTTTATATATAAAAGCTAAAAATTTCTTATTTATACCGAGTCATGATTTGCATTATCTATAATTGCAATCTGTATATCTAGTAACATACCTTTCCAATGGATCTAATATCTGTTACAAATTTTTTTATGCCTTTGACAATATTTACTTCCTTAACTTACCTAATGATGCCCCGCAATGTGAAATTGGACAGCTAATTGTTCATATTGCAGCAAATAAAGGCTAAAGGCGAATTCTAAGTTCAAAGTGTTTAGCCTATGTTGCTCAATATGCATTACAATTATTAATCTCAAATTATGTCCATGTTTGTGCTTGAAAGACTATTTTAGGGATTGATCTGGTGTCTTTTAGCTCTATTTTTGATGAATTAAGTCTATCTAAAAGAAAAACATGCTTAGTTATGTTCTTGTAAGGCACTAGGCCTCTGTTGAAATTTATGAATGAGAGTATGTTTGTATGAATGTCCACTACCAACTCTCTTGACATTTTAAGATGGCTTAGAATGCCATTCCATAACTTTGAAAACATCTTTGATATAGTAAATATGTTAACAATTTTTATTTTGTGACTCTCCCTTTGATCTTGTTGGTTATGGATTGACTTTGAAAAAACAAAAGAGCCTATGGTTCTGTCCACTATCAATTCCAGCTTTATAACACAACTCTCCACATCACTTTTTGAGCTCAGTCAGAATAATTCTGGATACAGTAACTTCTGTTTGAAAATGTTGATAAGAAATTTACCTACATATTTATTTGGTGTTACTTTTTATTCTATGTTCACTCATATATGCCATCTTGATTTTGTAGAAGACTGAAAGAGTACAAAGGCTGATAATTAAAGAAAGTGTGATGACCCAAAAGGTCATCACTTGTTTTAAAAACGAATTATGCGTTCCGAAGCCTTAAAAATAAAACTCTTTTAGTCTTATCTCGATTTGCGTGCGCAATTCGGTCGCGTAGCCGGGAAGCCACTTTTGTGAAAATCTATGAAAAACGATGAATTTTGCCTTTAAAATGAGTTTGAGTTGACTTCGGTCAACATTTTGGGTAAACGGATCCGGACCCATGATTTGACAGTCCCGGAGGATCCGTAGGAAAATATGGGACTTTGGCGTATGCCCGGAATCGAATTCCTAGGTCCCAATTGTTACGCCCCATAATATTACGTCGATATTACATCCCGCAGTGTTATATTACGACGATGTTGCACCCTGTAGTATTGTACGTTGAAGTTGTCGTAAGGTAATTGACATCAGTCTAAGGGAAAGATTATTTGAAGATTATAAGGATTATACTATTTCAAATGAGTGATGAGAAAATTCGTGAAAGTGAGAGCGGAAGAAAGTCAAAGAAAATGAATTTTCGTCCAAGTTTGGCATGTTGGGGGTACAATTTAGGCCGAGCGTTAATACCCCATATTTATGAACTAGTACCATGCAATGTACCATATGACCACGGTATTATAATATATAAAGTATATATGAAATATTTTAAAAATAAATAAAATTTTAAGTAATTTGTGGTAATTTTTAAATTATGCGGGTATGGATTAATTACCGGGTAACAAATCATTACCTGGTTAACTAATAAGTGGATAAAAATAATAATAATTAAGAACCCTCCCACGTGGCATAAAGCCACAATGTCCAAACATGACTCATAAGTCATTAATTCCATGTGACTATATATGAAATAATGACTCAAAGCTAAGTCTTAGAAAGACTTGTCCAATATGCCTCTAACCTTCATTTTAGTATCTTTGGTTGAATAAATTTTGTTACTTTGGCTTGAAACCAAATTGTAGCTAAAGCAGACCATTCAAATTTCAACCCAAATGATTCTTCAAGAATCATAAATGCTTTTCTTCTTAAATTTCAAACAAAGAAAATGTTAGAACTAAGTTAAGAAGTAGATTGCATCTCATTCTTTTTTTGGTCTTAAAGCCAAAAGTACGCTAGAAGAGGAAGGAGATTTCGTTCCAATTTCAAAATCCAAGTATAAGTTCCGTTCAAGAATTTCGCAGAAGAAGATTCATTCAAATAATTCAAAAAATAGGTATGTTAAGGCTATCCCTTCTTTCTTTTGGCATGATCCATACGATATGAACGAAACGTGAAAATGCACAAATTCCATAAGTGACTCTACTCNAGGAATTGAATTTTGTATGATGCCTACGATAAGTAAATATGAGGTCTTTAGCAGATCATGGGTGTACTGAAATGGGTAAGCTTCCTGATAAGAAGCCTTAAGGTAAGAATGCCTATCCATCTTTATGGTGAAGGACAATGAGAGATTAAGAAGATAAGTACAAGTTTCGACAAGTAAAAGGAGCAAGGTAAAAAAGGGTACGAGGTACCAAGTTAATGAAGGTTAACAACGTTTATAATTGAGGCAGAGGAACATAAGCTTCTTGAGTTATATTTAATAGTAACAGAGGTATATACAATTGGTCACACCCTTTCCAGATATGTCCTATAGGGGTTAACAAAAGTAGTATAAGAAGATATGATGGATTAATTGATTGCGTCAGTTGACATTTCCGTAGGATATTGCAAATGTGCTAATAGATCTCTTTAAGAGATACCTAGATAGTGCACTCTAAAGTAGTGCAGCCAGATATGAGTACTACAAAGACTTGCACTATAAGCCTTGAAGGAATA